TAATAATAATAATAATAGTGCTGATAATAATATGAAATCGATATGAATATATTTCAGAAGATTAACCCAGAACAATTCCCCATTTGGTTTTATTTTCTCTTTTCCTGAGAAGAATTTATCTCATCAGAGAAATTTTTGGTTTATTAATGAAATCGACTTTCGATATCGCACAAAAAAAACTGAAAAAACTGGTAATTCTGGCCCAACAAAGCTTTCAAGAATGAAAGTTATAGAACTATTAATTGGTAGCTTAAATCTATTCTGAAACTTACTTATTCTATATAGAATCTCAAAGATATTATTCGATCTATTTACAATTTCAGTCCTAATTATTCAAGAAATGGGAACTTTTTAATATAGAAATAACGAATTAATATGTTTTAGTTTGAAAATTTCGAAAGCAATACATGCCAACGTCCAATATTTTTAGACATTTGTATTAATTCTTCAAATTTATCTCTTCATCTCTCAAAGTTGGTACATTTTCGAAAATTTTTTTATATTTATTAATCTGGAAGTAATTAAATCGTAGGAAATGAATAAATTCATAAAAATCAACAATATCTGATTTCATTTATAGAAATCAAAATTGCTCAATTGAAACAAGGATGATTCAGCCTATTTATTCAGCCTAACGACATAATTTTCCTAAGTTTTGTATTTCGGTTGAAGAAAGTATGGGAAAATATTCTAAATTATATTTCGATATAAATATTAATAACCGTATCATGTATGAAATGTAAAAAGAAAACGAGAACAATAAAGAAAAATTAATAAAAAATGCTTGATAAATGTTTAGCAAAAATATGAATATCGAGGTAATCAATTTAAAGCTTCGATAAATTACAATTCAGTTATACCTCAACATTTTCAGGTATTAGAATATTCTCAAATTAAAATAAAAGATGTTCAAAATTAAATTCCTACCAATAAGCAAATTTATAATAGCAACAGGACCAGTGTGTTAGATTTGAATAGAAAAAAAAATTACATTTGATAGAAAATAACAATTTAGATGATGAAAGAAAATTCCTTCTCATATTGAATTCATCTATTATTGAAATCAATATTTGAGATGAAGACGATCATTTTCGCATATCATTTTTTTTTTTCCCTTCAGTTCCATGTTTCATATTGCAGTCTGCCTTTTGCTTCAAGCATTTGTACGAATTGTTTACCATTTTCACCGTTATCATCTACAATCTTCTCTATACATGCTGTTACTTCATGTGGCATATCACCAGCTCTTCCTGCTATAAAAAGGTAACCTGGAAAATTATTAAAATTATTTTACATTAAATAACTATTAATATGTAAATGATGAAAGTTATTTTTTCACATCTTATTCAATAATAATTCCCACAAATTTTAAAGACTTTCAAGTATCATAAAGCGAATAATCTAATTATTACTTTTTCATCTCTAAGAATGCAAATATAATGCGAATATTTTGCTAAAGTGATATACGAAAAAAAAAGGAAAAAGTTACCATTATCATTTTTTAAAAGGTTCCAAATTTCATCACCATACTCTTCAATTTTATTTTGCACGTAAATCTGCAAAATCATATATTTCGATTGTTAATATAATTTCCCCACAAGACAGATCTTATTTAAACATTTTATGGTACTGTTAAGGTATTTTATGATACTGATTCCAAGGCGCGCTTATATCATAGTACTCATGGTACTGATACCTAAAATTCGAAAAATCATTAAAGTTATCGATAAATTGGTTTTTTATTCGACCATGTTGCAGTATTACACTCAATGCTTCCCTATTCCTTAGTGACTGACCAAAAGAACCAATAAAAACAGGAAAAAAAATAGTTCGAAATAACTTCTAATAAAAATTTAAATGGGAAAACTACAGGTTTTTCAGTACTGCGCTTTCTCAGATGAAATATGAACTTTAACACTTTTGAATAAAGTATTAAAGTTTATTCCCCTCTCCAGTTATAAGTGATTCTCCTCTAAATTAAAATCCAAATGAAGCACTTAAACATTGAAGTATTATAAAATGAAACAAACACCAAATTTCACACTTTATTTTGCTGATCCCGACTAAATGCTGTTATGATGCGAGCTCCGGTCAATATATGCCATTCTTCAGCGAAATAAAAATCTTTTTGAGCTCCACGGCATCCAAAGAATAATATCGAACTTTCTTTCTCATCGCATAAATCCCTTAAAGTAATGCTAATGAATCGAGCGAAATTTTTGAAATTTTGAATAAAAAACGATGATAATTTATTCCCTCTCATGATACATGCACAGCAGCTTTCAAATATTAATTTGTCTTACTGACACTAGATTACGAATACTAATTAAAAATAAATCTGACTGGCTGATATTTGATTTCAACCTAAAAAAATTTCAAAATTAAACCGAAAAAAAAATTCAACTTAAACCTAATTACGCACCTTGATTTATCCGTACTAAAATATGACTGGTGAACATTTGTTGTTTCAATTACAGAAATTTCACTCGCTTAATTTTGTGTCACTGGAAATATCTAATTCAGACATTATGAACAGCTATTACATTACCTGCTCTGGCTAAACAACTTTCAAGCTGTCATCTGTTTAAGGTCTGACCACAGTCGGATGAGTGTGAATTTTGACTTTCCAGAATTAAATGACTCATGGAGAGAAATAAGCATGAACAAAAAGGATAAATATATACCTTTTACGATAAGCTAAAATTGATCGGAATGGTGCGACTCCAGTACCAGGCCCAACCAAAATCAACGGGTTGTTTTTGGTGGGCCATCTGCAAATTCAGACAATGCTATATTTCCTGAGTTTGAGAAGATTTCAATTTTTGAAATCTTTGTTTCATTCTTCATTTAAACAACAAGCATTCATTAGTTACATCTGTTTAATTGTCAGTGAAACTAGCTCTTCATATCCATTGCTCGGTAACAAAATTAGACTACCTAAAAGTTCCTGGACGAGTCTTCACCAGAACAGTATTACCCTCTTGTAATCGACTTAAATAGTTACTACATAAACCTAATCGTGTCGTTTTCATTCGTTTCGATCTATATTCAACCTGAAAATCAAGTCTTTATGATATTTTATTCTAATACTTCAATTGCAATTTCATTTAGCATATAAAATTAAGAAAAAATCGCATCCATAATATGACATCTGCACTTAAGTTTAGAGTTGTTGAATTCATTTAATTTCCAGAAATCAAACTAAAAAGATAGCACAAATGATTATTTTGTACGAAAACTAATCTAACTTTAGCAACGAGTAACTGAATAGCTGTATGTGTCAGAGGACAAGAAGCAATACTGAATGCTCGAGGGCGAATGGGAGGAAAAACTTCGAAAAGCATTTCAACGGGTATATTTCGAGCTGTTGCATAAAAGTCTCGCAATGTCTCCGCGATTGTTCGCCTAGGCCTCCAACAATAATCCATATAATGATCCTGAATAGTAGTGGATTAAACGAATGCATGTAAGACAAAATGTTAAATTTACGAAATGAAATATAGAATTTACAATATATTTCGCTAGTTCAAGCAATCGTTCCTTCTCATCATTTACTGTAGACAACTTTCCAAGCGTTCGAAAAAAAGATCTCCGTGGAACCATTTGCAAATCAAAGTAACATTCAAAACATTGCCGTAAAGACAATATACCTGAAATTTGAGATACTTTTTTTTTCTTTGAAATCAAGAAAACTATACGTGGTCGAAAAATGAAAATCATATCAATGTAAGGAAATAGCGATGACTCACTAATAATACGAATGATAATATTAACACCAAAAAGAATATACATTTGCAAAGCACTAGAAAGCTTAATTTTCATGCCTGTTAAATATTTGTAGGAAATTATAAAAAAATGTTCTACCTTTATAAAGATAAGAAGGAGGCAGCGCGATACAAGGTTCACGTGAGCGTAACGTGATAGGCCGATCTAGCAAATCATTATCAATATCCAACGCTTTGTAAGCTATACTAAGAGTTTCGCTCAAGTTCTTCGGATGTACCATTATCACATCACCAGGAGAATAACTTCAAGTGAATAGCATATTATAACCACGTTTTAAATAATCTCATATCTCTTCAGAAAAAGTTTTAAAAACCGTGAAATCATTGAAAATTTAAAAATATGTGGCAATGAATTTCATACCTAAACTCCTCGACATTCATGGCTATCGTGATTAGTCGTGTATCCAGAAAATATAAAAACAATTAAAATACAGAAACAAAAAAAACATTCAAAGAATTACATAAATGGTAAGAAAACGAAATATTTTTGGAAAATTGAAACTGATTCTAGGATACAAGCATGCTAATGATAATTACTTTTAATTGAATACTTGTGATAAGTGAATTATGGCCTTATATATATAGGTTTAAAATACACTTAGTAATGCCAGTTAAAATGTATGTTCAAAATAAGAATACCTGAAAATGACTTTCCGCTGTTAACCGTTTATTGTTTATGACTGTTGCTTCTGCGAAAGAATTTTCTTTCCTATCACTTTGAACTGGTAAAGAATTCTCATCGTAACTGACTTCATAACGTGATGGAAAACACTTGCTATCATCAGGATATAAAATTATATCCTAAAAAAGTGGATAAACTAACTTAAAAATTAATGCATAAATTAACGCATTCAAAATTAAGAAAATCATTAAATTTGACAATTTTTAAATATTTAAATAGTTAAAACTGATTCAACATCCACAAAACGTTCCATTCATGTATTACCGGATATAAATCCATTTTCCAGACTTGTTGGAATAATTCATCCCGAAAAGGCTCGTACGTCCCTTCGACGCCCAATTCATGCTGGTCGTCGGCTAGAGTTAATTCCATCAGAAATGATGGGCCCAACTGGCTTAACCTACAGTAATTTAATTAAAGTAATACGGCACAGTTGCAAAAGTAATGTGCAATAAAAAACATGTTCCAAGCATCCCATATAATTAATTGGAGAAGTAATATATTTTTGATAAATATCTACCTTCGGTATAGCTTCTTCCCTGCAAAGTTGTATTTTTTGATAAGTTGAATCACCAAGCCCAAGAACAGCTAAGTGAACCTGAAATTATTACATGTATGCTGATAAGTTATAGTGTAAAATAGATGTTTCTATTAGGCTGAAGATTAATACAAAAATATGGTGGCAATAATAAGGAAGATTTATTTATTAAATAAATACAGGAAGTACTATTAACTTGTAACAAAAAAAAAGAAAAAACCATTTACTGATCAAATATTTTAAGTAGTGCAGAAATTCTATCAAATATGATACGATAGAAAAACAGCCAAAAAAATACCAATGAATACTCGTCAGAAAACAAGGAAGAAAATGATAGAGCTATTCACTGAGAGCTGTAAAAATAAAATATGGAAACAAAACTTCCATTTGAAAAATTTAACATGAACTTACATTTTGTAACAAATTTTTAGGTAACGTTTTACAACACAAAATTCTCCAGTTATGACGCATACTAGCAGGCATTTCACCTTGTCCACTGGTTGAGACTATAAATACCACACAATGCTCGTTGTTCAAATTCTGGAAATAAGTAATCAAAAAACAAAGAAATATTTCGCATTGCATAAAATGAAAATGTATCAAATACAAGGGATAAAGTAAAAATGTTTTTAGTTAATGGAAAAAGTAGAAACAAAAAATTTTTGATGTTAATTTATGAGATTATTAAAATAGATCTGCCTGACAATATAAAAGTGACGTTATAAGGAATGTTATCTATTGCATACCTAATATCAGAAGAACTATTTTTATTTTCCATAACTTTCCGGTATGAAATTTCATATAACTTTTTCAATTATTTTAGAAAATAACTAAAATTTGACCAAGTACAACTTTGGAAAAGTATTACAGTAATAAATCCTTGACAAATAAATTAACTAATCTGTCGAAAAGTTCTATAATAAAAGTAAGAGAAATTTTCCTTTTTGCAAAAAATTTTCACTGAAATACAGAAAATCCTCAAACCTGCACCATATAATCTCCAAAATTATATACTTCTGCTGGGATATTACGATATCGTGCATCATTCCATAACGTTTCCGCAACATCCTGAGCATTACCTGTTTCACTACCATAAAGAATTTTTAATGTGGGAAAAGATGAGGACATTTTTAGCAATCCTGAAAAAAAAAAATGAAAAAGTTTCAACTTCCGAAATATTAAAATGAAAATGTTCATCTTTTACACTTAACATCCCAATATACATTCCTTAGATTCATTTTTTCCGATTATATAATCTTCATTACAATATTACATCACATTTCTTAGAAAAATAAGCATTTAATGAACCAAACATCTAATTCTCTTTCTTCAAAAATTTGATCATTTTTGAAAGTTAAGTAATTTTCAGATTATAAAAATATCCCATTTACAGAACTTTTTATCCTTCCATTTATATATTACTGGAATAAAGTTGAACTTTCTTATATTTGTAAGAAATAAACGAAAACTTCTATCTACTACTGCTTACTTATTCAGCAATCATTTTGGCATATTTCATTAGCCTAGGAAATAGTTCAATTTACGTTACTAACCAAACAATCAGCTCAATGTATTTCATTTGGCAGCATAAATTCACTATTTCATTTGGTTGGAAACTAAGTCCACTATATTAATGTGTTTATCGATTGGCAAGTCATCATATTTTATTTAGCGAGGAATCAATATTTCATCCACTGCTAAACAATTATGCATTATACTTAATTTACAAAGCGTTTAATTTGCATTTAATCAAATAATCATGATTGTGATAAATTTATTCATTCTATGGCATACAACAAATATATTTTTCATGAAGGTGTATTTTATGACAAATCTCGAAATAGTAACAAATTTATATCACTTATAACAACTTTAATATCATTCATATATTTTTTAATACCATTTATACTAATTTATACAATTTATTGAAGGCAAGACATAATTTCGAAAGCATATCGTGATTTTGTTTCTTTTGTTTCTTCGAGAAATCCGGCACATTACACTCCTTTAATAAGAGTTAGCGAGAATGAGAATGACCACTAACTAAAAATATTGGACTAATTGCACCAACGACAACTGAGATTAACTCAATAAGCTTCAACGATGCTCTGGATTCACTGTATCCTCTATTACTCCCTGCTGTGCTACTGTTCGCTAATTGATAATCGTTAACGCTGGAACCCATCTGAAAGAAGCTTTTCGTCTTATTTGCATACATTATTTATCATATATAAATGATGGTATACACTGCTTATGCTATACCGGTAAGGAAGACCATATTTTATTTATTAAAGTGGAAGAGGACAGAAACTACCATACACAGTTATTGTATCACTGAAAGTCTTGAAGTCGAAAAAAACACAAACCAAAAATGTAATTAAGCAAACTTAACCTTACAAAGCGAAAACAGTTAATAAAAATATTACCAATTTCCACATCCTTGGAATTTTATTTAATAATGGAAACTTAATCTTCTTTTTCTGGAATTATTTCATAGACTTACCAACTCAGGAAGTATATGTACAGTCGCAACGTACAGAAATGTTCCAGCCGAAAATAACATGAGCGTTCCAGTTGCCGAATCTGCTGAGGACTTATCGTTTTCAATCTGAAATTTAAAAAATAGAAATGAAAACGTGTCGATTATTGCATATTTCAAATAAAAAAATTTTAAAAACTCACAACAACAATCAGGTAATATGTAACCAGTGCAGCTATTGGAGCCGCGACTGAAAAGACAATTAAATGACGACGTATCCTGAACCGTTCAATACCTTCCACCAAAAGAAAACTGACCAGACCGAAAGCCGCTGGAGCCTGTAATGTATTTAAACAATTCAAAACTTGAAATATGATAGCTGAAGCATTTTACCGCAGAAACGATATGCAAATGGAAGGATGAATCCTGTGATGAACCTAATGCATGTTTTCATAACATGGAAGCCATTGGAAGCTAAAAACCATCGTGTTAAAGCAACAGAAGAGGGAAATTAGACCGAGTAAAATAAATGCAAACGCAGATATTGCATTTAGACGACTTGTTGGGAAGTGGAAATCAAAAACTTCACGAACAATAGTCAAGAAACAAGTTGAAACTAACAACTCGTCTGAAGAAGGAATGAAATAGGCGAATTAAGTTGGAAGAGAGTCGAACTCAAAAAGAGAAAGTCATCAAGTTCAGCATAAGACAGGAGAGGGACGAGGCCGAAAGTAAAAAAGAGCCTTTAAAACATCGGCATGAATGCAATAATGAACGAATTAGCCCAAGAATTTATGGGTTAAAGCTTAAATTCTAGAAATAATTCTGATAATCGACAGAATGACAAAAAACAACCTTATGAAGCATTATAGAATGACAAAAAACAACCTTATGAAGCATTATAGCAAGGAAGACAATAAACTGTACACCGGTACGATTTGTTGCAGATGCACTACCAAAAGCAACTCCATCAGCTGCAAATACTATTTAAAATTAAATTTCATTTTCAAAAAGGGATTCAAAAAATCTTTACTTACAAACAAGTACAGATTCAATAAACGTAAATTCGAAAAATTCTAATTTAATATGTGTAATTAAATTTTCAGTCGCAATTTTACTTCTTGTTTCAATTTCAGAACTATAGAGATTATTCATAATCAGATTCACAAATAAATCGATCTAAAACAATCGAAGATAAAAATTTTTGTGAAGACAAACCAGCTGCATGCACCACTAAACCAATTGTCGCCGTTAGTTTAAAATGTGTACGGTCACTACCTGAAATCCAGTATAATACATTAACAACAATTATCAAAAAAAAGACAAAAATTCTGAATTCAAAGAAAAATTCGAAAAAACCGTAAAATCTATATATATTAAAGCAATTAAAACTAGTTTTACACTACTTATATAATATACCTTAGTTATTATGGACAAGTTAACATTATACCAGAAACGTTATATAAAAGGAATAAACCCTTGAGTCTTGACAGATAACTCGAATCATTGATATTTGAAGATGGCCGTAATGAATCTTGTTTTAAGAGTAAGATGAAAGGAAGAGTCAAGTTTCATGGGAGGGCCCATTAGTTGTGAAAACTGCTACACATTTTCAATGGAATTAATCAATTAGAAGCAAATAATATTTCTAAAGTTTAAACTGGTTTTTATGAAAATTGAAACCATTTGATACGTTATTTTACTGCACACATCATATAAATTATTCATCAAAAAAAAAAAATTATTTAAAAACAAAACGAAAAGACATATGACCTTTAAATGAGAAATATTTCGAAATTTGATCAATAAGAAACATAAATAAGAAACCAATAACCAATGAATATCCTATTGATTGGTTTATTACACTGAAATTATCTGATGGTTCGATGTGCCCATGCTCATCGATTTCTGCAAAAAGTTTTTAAAAAATTCCAAAAAAGAATTAGTGAGACAACCTAAGTAAACAAAACTGTTAAAGATCATGTAAGATATTAGATGTAAACTAAACTAGTGGCATTTCCACCAAAATTTTCTGGTCATTCAATGCAACATAGATCACGTCATGGTGCAACTGAATTCATAATCATTACACAACCGAAATAGCCTATATTAACTTGTATCAATTCCAGAATGGGAGGAGAGACTAGAAAAAATCCAAAAATCGAGAACAAAAATGAGCCCATTAATTTGTTTTGTTTTTATCATGTGGTCGGCAAATTAGTTCCATTTTTTGAAATAATTGGATCCTGACTCTTTGCATAAAATATACCTTTTTTGTCTATAATGGAACTTTGCTGCATTTGTCGGGTCATTCCTCTCCTAATATCGTTGTTGTCGACCCCACTGAAAGTGGCAGAAATACAAAATTATTAATTTGAGTCATTACACTAATTTTTGAGTAAAAGTAAAATTTTACAAAATCCACACCATATAATAAAAAAATTACAGCTTGTGAATTTTTTGACTCCAACAAAAATATATTTTATTTTTACCCTAGTACCTTATGGCATTTTTCTAAAATCAGAAAAATTATTTACCGAAGATTTCTTGATTGCAATTAAATTTAAATCTGTTTATGGAAATTTCACCAATCCTGTAATGAGGAAGCCTTTGAAAATGACCCAGAAGACAGACGAAACAAGGTCTGAATTTCCTTCTTCAATTTTTCCGATCTCTATCGACTCCATTAGTTGATCCTTATCAGCAATCTTTAATTTGTAAAATTTGTGTACCATTGAATCATGGTAAAAAAAAGAAAAAACATGCCTCGGATTTGATGCAGATTGTTTTAGTGAATTCGATATATCATGTTGATTTACAACAACAATCTGACTCCTATCTTCATTCTGCACAGCGTTCGGTAGATATTTTCCTGAAATCAGAAAAGCTATTTTCTTTTTTCGACCATCCATTTAATAACAACTCTGTTCAATTACATCCTGTCAGCATGATTGAATCAGGAACGAATACCAAGTTATACGATCAATGAAAATTGTCACAATTATGTATTTTCTGCGAAAGATGATTTTATCTGGATATTTAACAAATCTATTAGTCAGATAACTAATTCAGTTCTTCAATGTAACTTTTGCTTTGAACGTGGCGTAATTCGCATGGAAATATGATAATGCCTTATTTGTTATTCCGTAAAGATTTACAGTGGTTATCATCAAAAATTATTTCACTTTATCTATCTGCTGGTCAAATAACAATGTTTCAAATCCGCTGATCTCTGCCTTATTGGCTTGAATTAAATTTCCAGAAAAGACATTCCACATATTTCATCATTACCCAGTCGTATCATGATCAGCTTTTCAAGATAACTTTTCGGGAAGTATAATTTCATTCAACTTCAATAAATGGAATACTGCCATATTGAAATTCTCGACATTTGCAAAATATACAAATCTTAAATTCGCGTTCCAAAAAAAAAAAATATTTTCTGAGAGAGAAAAAAAAAAAGACAAAATGAAGCACCAGTATTAACAATGTATAACGCTTCAACACCTTCCGGAATAATTACAGATAACGCTGTGCCTACCAATAAACCCGCTCCAAATGTGCTCAATAAACGTGTCCGTCCCTGAAAAACTTGTTGCAGTAGAAAATTTTTACAAGCTAAATTTTAATTCTTTTTTTCATGTTTCAAGATAAACTATAGCAATGGTCGCGATTCGTTGATATCCAGAAAGCAGGAATATCTTTCGGTATATGTCAAATCCACATAAGTGTTACGATTAAATTTAATCATACAAAGTTTAAAAAAGTAAGGAGGGAATTACTCTCACAGTTAATGTACCTCGGACATGTTGAATGCAAGAGGTATCAATCCAGCCATAAAACTTCCAACAAACATTGCAGCTGACAAATACAGCAATAAGTAAAACTCATCCATAATTGATGTACAAAAAAAGTCGGCTTAAAATTCAAATGAGGAATATTTGTGCTGAAATATCATTCCAATCAATCAAAACTACAATAGCTTAGAAATAAAATGATATTTAATATTTAAACGAAGTCATATATTTTGGACGCAATCCTGATGAAATGGAATTTTATATATATGTAAGAACTACTCATTTAATTCATCACAGTTTTTTATGAGTTGATTTTTTAAAAGTAAGCGGTGAAAGAAATACTTCTTCACTTTTATTGTATCAAGGAGAAGGCTAATGTAAGAATATTCGCACTTAACAAGAGATCAACAAATTTGTTTATTCGTATATATATATATATATATATATATATATATA